CAAGTTCTCTCCCCAAATAGCCCAGGGGCTCGCTCTCAGAGTATCTGCCCATCCCATCCCTGTGCCAGGGCTTTCCACCGAAAGGGTGAAAGAGACTCCCCCTCCCCCGCCGTGAGGAGGGAAGCAGGGAAAAGGGAAACTAAACAAGATAAAACCCAACGTCCCCAGGGATTCCGAGGGACAAAGGCCTGGTGGGGAAAATACCCCCCCCCCTTCACCTAGGCTATGTCTACACTCCCAGCTTCTTGCACAAGAAATATGCAAATGAGGCTAAGCGTGGAATATCATGGAGCCTCATCTGCATACCTAATAAGCTGCCATTTTTGCAGAAGACGCTCTTGCTCCAGAAGGAGCTGTCTACACTGCCCCTTCTTGTGCAAGAAAAACCCTCCATTATCGTCGTAGAACAATTGCACAAGAGAGTTTTTGTTGTGCAAGAAGGGGCAGTGTAGACGCTCCCCCTGGCTCAAGAGTCTCTTCTGAAAACATGGTGGCTCATTAGGTACGGAAATGAGGCTCGGCGATATTTGACGCTTAGCCTCATTTGCATATTTCTCATGAAAGAATCTGTGAGTGTAGACACAGCCCTAGTGTTTTCCCTGCCTTTCATTCGGCCAGCCCCCATGGATCAGGCCAGTGTTTCCAAATCATTTTTTATACCATGGACAGCCAAACCCATTCACAAACTTTTGCCAGACTGGTAACATATTTACATATCTGCATATCCATTATGCAAATAACAAATCTGCAAATATGGAAATAAACCATTACCAGTCCCTAACAGATCAGTGTTTGCAGTTATCTACACTTAAAAATTCACAGAAACAATTCCCCTCAGGCTGCTGGAGGGGGCAGCTCCTCCCCCAGCGGGACTGGTGCCTGCAGAGGGAGGGGCGCAGGGAGACGCACCCACAGAGGCAGGGGGCATTTGTGACACCCTGGTTATAAACTTCAGAAATGTTGTTGGGGCAGAGAAGTTGGTGCCCCCAAGTGCCACCACCAGTCACCTCTGCCCCCCCTCCTGCCCGATGGGGGTGGGGGAGTTGCCGTTGCCCCCTTTCACTTTCTATGACCCCCCCGAGTTTCCCTCCATTGCACCCCTGCTCCCAGCCACCTCATGCCTGGCATGATCCCCCCAACCTCCCTTCAGCACCTCCTGCCTCCCCTTCCCACCCCACCTCACACATCCCTGTTCCCCTTCACCTCTCTTACCTGCCCCCACCCCTCTTCAGCCACCTCCCCACTCTCTCTGGGATGGTTCCCCCTGCCCGGCATGATCTGGTAGCAGCTTCCCTGGCCCCAGGCTGGGATCACAGCCCCCTCTGCTGAGAGCAGCCCATGGCCAGATCCTCCCACTGCAGCCCTTGGGGGGCCTGCTCTCTGGGAAGGGGAGGCGGTGCTGTACCCAATGCTGGGGCTCGGGGATACACCAGAGCCGGGCCCTGGAAGCAGAGGGCAGGAAAGGAGCCAGGCTGAGGCTTTGCAGGGAGCAGGCCGGGGACCTGGCAGGAGGAGGCTCCAGCGAGCACAGAGCCTGCGCAGGGCCAGCCTGCTGGGAGGGGAGCAGGAGCATCCAGCACCATTCAGGCCAGTGGCAGCCGACACTGGGGGAGCTCTGAGACTCCAGGGGAAAGGCCTCCAGCCCCCCAACACCAGGGATTAGGTTCCCTGGAGCCAGGCCCCCTGGAGTAGCATTGTGGCAGGGGGCTGTGACCCACAGGGCGGCTGGGGGCAGAGCCCAGGGCCCAGGGCCTGGGAGTCTGGTCAGCAAGTGAGACTCGCCCGTCAGTCCAAGCTGCTTTCTCCCCAGCTGCCGTTCCTGCCTGTCCCGTGCAGGCCAGTGGGGCCCTGCAGGTTGCTGGAGGGCTGAGCCCATCGCAGGGATGGAACATGGGGACCATGGGGCACATTTTCCCCTGTGAGCAGGCAGGAGGGACACACACTGGCCCAGCTGAAGGTTTTGTGCTGGGGCTGGAGGCTTGAGCCTGAGCTGTCGGCTTCTGCTGGACTTGCTCCTCCCCCCTCTCCTGCCTTGCTGCCTCCTTTGGCCAGCAGCGCTCAGGGGCAGCTGGGAGGGCCAGGACCAAGGGCAGAGGAGGTCAAGGCCAAGGCCTCTGGCATGCAGGGGAGGGATGCCAGGCCCAGGCAGGAGAAGGGGCAGGAGAAGGGGCAGCAAGACACTGTGTTTCTGCCTGGTTTCACTCAAGGGTCCTTCTGCAGGTGAAGCACCCATTAGAGCCTCCTGTGTTGCTGGGTTCTCCTGCCCCAAAACTCACCCAAGAGCCACCTGGGCAAAGCAGCCTGCCCCCAGACTCCTTTCCAAAGCTGAGCTGATAGAGCAGAGCAGAGGCCAGAGGCCTGTGCCTGGGGATCAGCAAAGTCCCCTTAGGTTGCTTTTATTTTATTTTTTTAAAGTAATGGAGATTGCCTATCTCCTAGAACTGGAAGGGACCTTGAAAGGTCATCAAGTCCAGACCCCTGCCTTCACAGCAGGACCAAGTACCATCCCCTAATAAATTTTTGCCCCAAACGGCCTCTGCAAGGATTGAACTCACAGCCTGGGTTTAGCAGACCAATGCTCAAACCACTGAGCTATCCCTCCCCAAACAGCGCTGTGCTCTGTAGTCAGCATGGGGCTTGAACCCATGACCTTGGTATTATTAGCACCAGGCTCTAACCAACTGAGCTAGCTAGCCTGCTGATTTAACGCCACCTGAAAGGAGAGATTCTTCTTCCTACTCCTGACTGCAGGCCAGGCCTTAGGACCAGGCGGCTGCCTTGGGTCTGTCCCTTTGGGGCCTGGGGCTACAATTGACAAAAAGGTTTTGGGTTCCAGCTGACAATCTAACGTCTTAGGCTGTGCAGACCTCAAGACACGGCAGGAGCTAGAGGGGAACGGTGAACGGCTGCACTTTGGAATGGGAACATGTTCTCTGGAACCATAAAGTAGAACAGTTTGAGGGTTGTCTGAAAGGAGGGCACCATGGCTTAGTTGGCTGAAGCAGCTGCTTTGTAAGCAGAAGATCCTGGGTTCAACTCCCAGTGGTGCCTTGTGGTGAGGCCAATGTGTCTCTTCTTTCCACCATATCCCAACACATAGCTGGAATTGGTTTTCCTGTTTGCTGGTGTCCTCACAGTGGAAGT